CAAATAAAAAGTTGTCTTAGAATTTAGTCAAGAATATGTATTTTCAAGGATAACGGGTTGTTCTGAATCACCCTGTATATATACACATGTAACGAATTCTACTTGTAAATTTTTTACGTTTTTTTTTTTTTTTTGAATTGAAATCTCAATTCTTAAATTCGTACGGGATGCTGGATTTGCATCTCACATATGAGAGAGACCCCGGATACCCCCCTAACTAATTTTTAAAATATTGCGAAAAAAACTCCTCGGCCAGAGGAGTCGAACCTGGAATCTCCGGCTTTCCGCGTGCCGTCGCCTTCCCTGCTTTAGGCCTTATATATTTCTTGTTGACAATTTCAACGAGCCTTAATTCTTAATTGTTTGAAAATACAATATTGCAAATATATATAAAATTGTTTTACAGCGATGTGATTCTCACGACAGAATTTTATAGCACCGCAAAACCAGAGAAACTGCAACTGTGGGTTGTGTTTGTATCGGTTACGTTAGGTTTAATATTTTTGTTTATCATTATTATTATATTAAGTATGGTAAGTTACACATTTTGGTTTTTTTATCGTATTAATTTCTCTCCGAACACAGCGCGTCACTCGTTTTCAATTTATTGTTGTTGCAGGTAGGTTTTTTCAGAAGGACAACGAAGGAAGAGTTATCCGCTATAAATACGACTGAAGTAAATACATGCAAATACACAAACAATTCTTAAATTTCTTACGTAGTTTTGTTAGAGTATAATATACCTACCTATTGTTTTACAGATAGAAGATCGAAGTCAATCAATCGAACAATTGGAGATGATAGAAGCACCCGAATAGGAGTATTTGTGTATTTTAATATGGAAAAGTGTGTGATTTACGTGGTTAATTTATGTATTAAATAATATAAGTTCAATCTACATAAAAATATTCTTTTATTCTTATCAGAGAGTTATACAACGGCGGTATAATGAATTTTTATATAACATCTATATAAAATTTACCGTATCGTATATTTACATATATATAATGTATATATATTTACATCACAATATTACAATTTTTTCTTGTAAGAAAAACAATGGTAATGTTCATACAACATTTACAAATGATCAATACTCATACAGACGCAATCATCGTTCATACAAGTTTTTATAAATCGAAACGAAGAGATTTTCACATGTAAAATAAAAAAGTAATATGTTTTTTGTCACACCAGTATGTACATTTATGAGTCTTTGAATACAAATATATCTGATACTGTAATTGCGTGTATCATCATCTAAACGTCAAAATATACATGCTATATTTGTGATTAAAACTATCGCTGTGTATATACAAATATGTGAGCACAAATTATTCCTCCTCTTATTTTGTCTATCAAAACTATACACGCGCTAATCGAAATTTCACGGTACGCGATTTAAGAATATACAAATTATTAAAAAAATCACAAACTAAAATTCGGATCTGTTTCTTCTAAATAAACGTAGAATAAATATTATCTTCTGGTCCAATAGAACTGATGAAATGCAGACACATTATTGCCATCGCAGCGACACGAAACTGCATACATTGCTGGAGGGACGTAAAGGTGCTGCAAGCAAACTTATAACTGTTTGTGCAGCACAAAATGCACAACTTTGTGCATCCGTACCTCGTTATCTTCCGAAGAAACTGCGATGCTCTCATTAGCTCTCCCATTTTCAATAAACGAACATCAACTCGATATTTGGGATACGAACTGCTACCCGTTCGTTTCCCTTGAAGAACGTGATTTATACTTGCTCAAGTCCCAACGGACGTAAAAGCTCACGTGTATCTCTCTTGAAGTTGAAAACTTTATAAACTCTCTCCTTTCTTCGTCATCGTTTCGTTGATGTGTATATGCAGTGGAATGTATATTCGCAGTAAGATACAATCCATACTGAATCTTCTGCTTCACATATGCTAATACACATCTCATTGCGCGCAACATAAATATTAAATCACTAAATATTAAAAAAAAAAAAAAATTATATAAACCTATCGTCGAGATTATTATCAATCGAATAAGTTGTGGCTCACATAAATGTATAAATTTAACCCTGTTTGACATGTCCATATTAATTTTTTAATCGAGAAGACCCGCACATTTTCTTTATATGGTGCTATTTTATATGATTTTAAAAAATTCAAAACAGACTTTACAATATATATATATATATATGTACAAATCATCTTACACTTTCTCAACAATGTGTTTCCCATTGTATTTCATAGCACCATTTTATTATTGTAACTTAGCAAACTTCAAACGTAAATCTCATTCGTTTACTCTCGCTTTATATACTTCTTAATCTACTTTAAAATATATAAAGACCTGTATTTTTGTTCAACGTAAAACAAATAAAAATTAGGTCGCAATTGCACACAATGATGTTAGATAATTATAATGCAAGATGCTTTGTTTTTTTTATAAGTACAAATTGAAAACTTTCAGTAGTCTATTGACAAACAGACACCATTCTACTCCTTTCTTCATCAAATATAACACTGTTATATCAAAATTTCCCTTATGGAACGTCTCGAGTTGCTTTTCTTCCTAGAAGACAAGGACATGTTTAACTTTTTTTGCTTAAAAAAAGGTTCAACATATCTTTGTCTCGTCTATAAAGTTGTTAATATTTAAGTTTTTTTTATAATATATGTAACATCATTGTATGTGTATAAAAATATCGCTTCCCGCATTAGTATTTCTTTTTTTTTGGCCTATACTTTGCACAATTTATAAGAAACAATTTATCTTTTTAATTTGTTACATATCACAAAATACTTTTTACAAAGTAAAATTATATTCTAAATATATATTGATATCGCAAGCAAAATTAAATTTTATCGCTTTGTGATATAAACAACAAACATTTTCTACTAAGTTTAAATCGTACCAAAATAGAAATATTACTTAAAATAATAGCACACAAAATATAAAGTTTGTTGTTTTATACAAATAAACACACACATATAAGGAGTTTTTTTTTTGAAGCGCAACAAGTTATTTAGTGATTAATTTTCGGTCGTTACTAAACGTGATAATAGTTGTTCGTTTGAGCTATTTGATTGAAGTTATTTACACTTGCTGCTAATTATACATGATTTCTCCAGCCGGAAATCTTGAAAAATTTAGGATCCAATCCTCTCTATACTCCTTTCGAGACTAATAAGTCTTTGGTTGTGTCCTATTTCTATTTATAGTTTTCTATTTCACGTATAAAAAAAACATAACTGAGTATTCATCAATTCGACAGATCCTTTCGCTAATAATCAAGATGTCAGACGGAAAAACAAGTATAAATTAGCATCTTAAAACCTTTAGCGATCAAACTTGCAAGTAACGAACAACTATCATCACCATCTGTATCAGTAATCCAAAATGAATCGATAAATAAAAATCCAGTTTGTTGCAAGTTAGAAGAATTTCCTTAGAAACTGTTTTTTTTTTCCCCTTCAATAATACTTTTGTATCGTTCGCTAATTAATATAAATGACATCAACGAAAACACTATAAATTTGTAGTATGTAATATAAATTAGTATAAACTATTTTGTGTATAAAATAGTTTATAAATTTAGCATAAAAATCGTTATTTTTGGGGAGTTTTTTTCAGTACACTTTCAATATTTCATCATATATTTCAAAACGAAATATAGAAATAAATTTGTGTTTTTTCATCATACCCCAAAAATTTTTGTTACAATTTTATTGCACACTTGTTTGACGTTATGAACTTTTGCAAAAATGAATTCTAGTAATTTTCAAGATGTTTTTCATTAATGTCATTAAACAGAACATTAAACAGTAAAAATAAAATTATATATATATACGAATAATTTGTACTTGGGAATTTGTTAAAAACCATGCAGTCAAAAACTCTAATTTCAGTTTTGGAATGCGTATAAATTTTAACAAATTTCCAAGTTTTTAATAAATCAATTATCAAAAAAGAGTTCATATATTGATTACTTTAAAAATCCATATGTTGATTAGTTCATATAGTGGTTACTTAAATTTTTATGATTTAAATCTAACATATTTTTTTGGGGTTTTTTCAATGTTTTTTTTTTTTAATTTTTTTTGGGTTTTTGGAATGCTCTTAACCTAACATATTCTATATTCTATATGTTTTGTACTTTTTTTTTTTGAATGAAAAAACTTATGATAGTAATGCCAGTGATGCAATATAATACTGGCAAAAAGAAATAGTAACAGTAATGCTGAGGATTAGATATGAGAAATGTAAGACTATCTATTCTCTTACATTTCTAGATATACAAATATGAATGTGGAACGAAGAGCCACATCTTTCAAGTGACAATGCTTATCACAGTGACGAGATTATGTACTTACATTATAATGAGCTGTTTCATTTTGCAAACGCTTCGGATGGTATTTGTCCAAGATTGAAAAATTCTTGAAACGCAGAAATTGCATTATCATAATTCCAATTCGTCTCTTGTAAACATTTCAAGCTCCATTCCATATTCATATTCGTCTGCTGGCTCAAATTCACAATCATCTGTTTTTTTATCTCTTCCACATTTGTGACTTCTGTTTCGCTCATTACAGGAGTCATTTCTGAAGACTTCTCCGGTTCAACGGATGGTTGCGCCGGCTGACTTTGCTGCTGATTCAATTGCTGATTCAATTGCTGAACCAGTTGCCTCACCTGCGCCTCAGGCGGTTGACTGATGTGCAACTGTTCATTGCGAATACAATATCCACCAGTTTCAACCGAAACAATTATGAATGTTCGGTTGAAGTAACGAATTGGCTGATCCTTAGTATTCATCTCTTGAAAATAACCAGTTATCGTGATAAACATCATCGCTTGCGTAGCAAGGGTGATATCCATTGTAAACGTATCCAGTAAATGCTTCGTACGTGGCATTTCCGTTATGTAAGATACCACAGGTAATCTGCCTTGCTTCAACAATTTTTGCCGTCTTGCATTATCATTTATTCGGAATAAATTGCGATTCTCCATAAGATAACCATTTAACCTGGATAGGCAAATGTGAAAAAATAAATAAACATATTTTTAGCTTTCGAATTTGAGTACTCAAGTTTATTAATTTCCGTTGGAAACAACGAGACGTTTTTTTTTTTTTTTTAGATGTTATAAATGGTATTACTTACTTATTTGTGTGAGAAGTGGTTATCGTCATACTAAACATTGCGTGTTCATCATACGCATTTAACAGGCTTTGTCGATTATCACTATCAAATATCGCAAAATATTGTTGCAAAAATTGGCTTGCAACTTCCCTTGCTTTCTCATCTCCAACGAACATTCTTTGCGTTGGCGGTATCTTGTTAATATCTTCATCAACAACATCAAAAACAATAGGTCTTGGAAGCTCCGTGCCATCCTTTTTTGATGAACAAACAAAAAAAACAAATTCTTGTTTCACACGTATATACATGCGCGCACGCGTGTAAGATAATTTTACTTACCAGACGTAGCAACTTGGGAAATCGTTTGCGGACGTCGCTAGGTTGAAGAAAGAAAAGTCCGGAAGATCCAGGTTAATAGCGCAATAAAAAAACACACATCTTTTAGCATTAAAAAAAAGTAATAGAAAAAGAATGTGCGAATTTAGCCATAATACATTGAGATTAGTCGCGTAAAAATATCATCCAAGTTACAATTAAATAGAATAAACATAAATATAATAGAGAAATATTCAAAAAATACAAGATATAAAAAACTAAGTGTAAAAAATATAAATACAAAATATAAAAAACAAAGTATAAAAAATATAAATACAAAATATAAAAAACAAAGTATAAAAAATATAAATACAAAATATAATACAAAAATAAGTTTGAGTCAATCAAATATAATAAAATAAACTTGAATTATTGTCTTGTAACTTGTATGACGTTTTTTAAATATTATTCAATTTTATATATTAATGTTTTACGTTTAAAAAAAAAAACGTAAATCAAAGTTCGCAAAAAGTTGCATTGCTATGCACACTTATTGAATTTAATTTAATTTTAATTTTTAAAAATACAAAAAACAAACGCGTCAACTCTTTATGGCCTTTCTTAATCTCTTATTTAGATCTATTAACCTTTAGACCGCCTGCATGACGCCGTATAGCATCGCTATTGAAATGCCATACGCTAAAATATTATACCGTATTTTACGAGAAAGAGAAAGAGAGAGTTCTTTTTCATCTGCTTTATGAGAAAAAATATTTAAAAAATCTAAATATGTTGTTGGATGATGTGGTTTTAGCTTTCGAATTCATGGCATCTGAGATACAAAATTTATTTATACATGATTAACTTGGTAATAATGCTACTGTATTGAAAAAGACTTTTGCAATTCGCGACTTTAAATACTTAACCAGCGATATGAAAAACCTCTAGAAAACATTTTTTTTTTTTTAATTTGAAAATTTGATACTTTTCATTTCCGTTCTTCGCTGGTCTGGCAACGATCGGGGCCAGATGAAACTTAGAACACTCCACGCAATATAATAAGCTAAATTTATATACAAATATAGCGAAAAAAATACCATGTTTTCAATGAAAAACTGCTGGCGGTCTAAAGGTTAAATACTACTCTACGTTATAAATTTTATATTACAGATTATAAAATTTTATATATTCAATGCACACATTTAACATTAATTATGATTGCGATGTTAAAAAAAGATACAGGTACATAAATAAATTTATTAAAAGTTACTGAGTTTATATAAAACTTATATAAAAAATTAGATAAAAAAAGATGTAACATGAATAAAAATATGTAGAAAAAAATAAATTATAAAAATATATTTATATAAATTATATAATAATATATAAAGTTTGTCAACAAAAATGAGAAGATATTTGTAAAGTTTAAACAAGATAAAAATTTTCAAACAAAATTATCATCATATCATTCTTTCTTTACTTCTAAACGATATTTGTCTAACAGTTTATTTTCAACAAAAATTAAAAAATATTATATTTTAGTAATACATTACCTAATGTATTCATCGGTCCGCGTTCTGTATTTAGTGCAGCAAGGGTTTCCAGCTAATCTCAACTCGTCTAACTTAAGGTCCTTTAGCATATCCAACTGGTGAATATCTCTCATACGATTTTCACCAATGTAAAGAATCTTCAATTGCGGAAACTTCTTCGACAATATAGCAAGTCTGTCGAAATTCTGTAATCTATTGCCTTCCAAATTCAATGCCTTCAGGTTTGGTACACACTCAGCCATAACATCCAATACAGCCGTCAACATTTGAGGGCGAAACAAAGCACAAAAATATTCAGAAACAAGATCTAAAATAAATATAATATTGTAAGTGATCAATTTACAACACTGCGTGTTGGCGTAGTGACTTTTTATTTAATATTAATGTTAACTTTTTTTTTTTTTTTTTTTTTTACTATGTATCCTTACAAATTATAAAAAAAAAATGTAATATTTTGAATTTTATTAAACTAACCAGGATCTTGATATAACTTCGACAAATCTAAAGCACATGTCTCTTGAACATATCTTTTAGCCATTGCTTGTTTCAATCTTTCTTTAAACTTGTCATCAATATCGCATCGTGGGAATCCTGGTTTGGCTCTTATTTGTAACTTGAATCCATCATTCATTGTGATCTTCCTGTCACAATTCAGTAAGGCATTTGCAGTCTTTTGACTTTCAACATAAAAGACAGCTTCGGTAGCGGTAATCTTATACTGTAAATAAAGAGTAAAGAGTTTAACCGAGAGAATTTTTTTTTGTAGTTTATCAAGCTATAATTCTATTTATTAAAATCATACGATATTATAAGAAAACAAAACGATTACAAACCATTATCGGTATAAAGACCTCGGGCGTCATATAATTCAACAATGTTCTCAATACATATTCTTTATCATATTTGTGGCCGTATGGAATGATAATTTTGTACCAATTGCCCTCAGCGAGGGGAAGGGGAGAACGATTTTTTGTACTAATCCATCCTTTCATCATAATGGGGCGAACTTCTTTCCAATCACGATTCCATTTGTTTTTATCCTTTCCGCGAACAACAACTTGCCTTGAATTGTTGTTGGAATTACTACCAACCATTGGGATATCTTCTTCGAAACCCGACATCGCTAAGGTATTCATTATCTCTCTTTCTCTGTTTAATCTATGTGTCTTGAAGGAAACTACTCTGGATCTCACACCTCCATGAGAACCTCCATGAGAACCTCCATGAGAACCTCCACTAATTCTTCCTCCTACTCGATCATCATGACCTATATAAAAGAATAATTTTCCAAATTATAAAACACGCTTGTTTGTTTAATTACAAAGCACTTAGTTAAAAGTGCTGTAAGTACAGTAGCAATTGCAAAAATTGTTCTGCCTTTGTGACTTTTACTGGTCATGCTCGCGTCCAGGTGTTTGCTGTCTCTAACAGAGCCATTGAGACAAGCCATAAAAATAATTCAAACAATGACTGATAAATAGATTCTTCTGCTCACTAGTCATAAAAGCGTTAGGTAACCAAATGAAGGGAATAGCAACAGATCACCAATCTTGCGGATAAATTTCAGTACAGTACTTCTTATCGACAACATTATCGTTTAAGTTAGTATCGTCGAGTAGCTTCTATTTAATATATTGCAACATTACAGAATCGTTCTAAGGAACAATCTCGCAATTGCTACTGTATAGTTTTTTTAATATTGTTACTTCACAGATATTAGAAAAATATATAGAAATTCATTTTTTTTTTTTTTAACAATGTTTGGAAATAAATATATTGCACTTCAAAGCGAATTTTCATAGAAAACATATAGTTTTTTCTTATCTCTTGCTCTATACTTGTTAATATTGCCGTTCTAAACAAAACCGAATAAAAACTTATTTCACATTATTCTTTAAGATAAAGAGAAAAAAAAACAGAAAAAAGAAGGAGAGGAGAAAGAAAGAAAATCATTTAAGTTAACAAAATGTATATATGTCAAATGTATAAATGTGTACATGTCAAGATACAAAGTAATTATAAGTAGACTATTAGCTATCGAATAAGCAAATGTTCGTAGATTTATAGTAAAAACATATTTAGATAAATTATTTTTAATTACTAAATATATATGTCCTTCTAACGAATAAATAAGCAAAAACACTTTTTATATGTCAAAATGTATATTACAATATATGTTATAAAAAATTACTTATTATATTAACTTATTAATTAATTATTATATTTAAATAAAGCATAAAAACAAAACAACTGCATAGTATAAAAACAATACAAAAAACTTCTTACAAATTCCTAAACTTTCGAGTTATACATTGCGGAATGAATGAATTTTATAAATAACCACAGATGATTCGATCTGTCTCTTTATGTTATAACTAATACGTAATTTTGCCTCTTTTTTTATGAGCTAATGTTATAAAAAATGTGAGAAGCACTTAGATACGCGATGCAAATTGTCGATTATTTCGGAATCCGTTTGCTGTGCCAACGTGCAAACGGTAAGATAATAAACGCCTCAACGGAGCGAGATATCTTTTACTATTCTGAAATAGAATATTTTCACCCGAAATCAGCCTAACTTGTGCAATCTCTTTTTTCTACGTGTTAAAAAATTATATTCAAAACTTCTAGGAAAGGAAATTGGAAAATGAAGATTTAGTCAAATTAAAAAAAAAAACAAAAAACTTGACAAACCAAACACTGAATTTATTTATCTAAAAATTTCTTTCTTCTATTTGTTGTATTCTGGTAAACAATTTCATCAAATTTTATAGATAAATGAAAAATAGTAAAATAACTAGAGTTAAAACGCATATTTATATACTGCAACAAGAGTACATCTACTCCAGTTCAAAATAGAAACTAAAATATATTGTTTTTACTATTATTCAATAAATTAGCAAGATTAGCAATATGTTTCTACCAAAAATGTACCGCTACAATAGTCTAAAAAAATATATAATCGCAACAGAAAAGAATATACTACATAAACTTTCTAAGATTTGTAGTTAAACATTGTTAGAATAAAAACGAGGTTTATAAATAAAAACAGAATGTTCAATCTCTTTATTTTCAGATCTAGCGTGCAATCTTGTCTCTGTTTCACCTTTTGTGAACTGATTTTCAAATAAACTACTGTGAGAAACATTCAGATGCGATGCAAATTTCAATTATTTTGAAACGCGAAGTATCTCCTACTGTGTTTACGTGCGACGTAAAAACGATAAAAGTAGGAAAAGATCCGCTAATTGTTTTAAAGAAACACAAGATATCTCTTTCACAATTTAAAAAAATATACAAATTCGCATTCCAAATACGTCACAATCTGTACTGTCACTTTTCCATTAAAAACTAATTATTCAAATTTCCAAGAAATTGAAAAACTATTAACAAATTGTAAAAAAACTAATAAATAAAGAACGTTGATTAAATTTATCTATTAACTTGCCTATAAATGACATTTTCTTTTATTATTAGATATACTTGTTGGAAAAATATCAAAGTTTGATGAAAAAAAACCAAGTATAAGAAATGCAATACAAAACTCACAACACAAAAGAACAGAAAACTTCTGAAGAATTCACGTTGCAAGAAATGAATAAAAACTTATAAAGGAAATCAATGTTCAACAAATATGCGCGATACAAGATTTCACCATTTCAAAACGCGTCATTGCCTGCTGTGTAAGCATTCCAAAGGACAAAACGTTTCGAAGAATCCTTATTACAAAAATCTGAATTTTTCAAATTCTTAGAGTTTGAGGTAAATGTAATTTTTCACGTACACAAAAAGACAAGTTGGACATTCCAGTGGAAATTTCCATTTCAAAAGCGTGGAAAATATCTTGCGTCGTCCTCTTAGAAAAAAAAAAAAAAAAAAGGTCTAATCTCGACGGTTTGTCCTTTGTAAACACAGCAGGTAGTGCGATGCGTTTTGGAAATGATCGTACCTTACATCGTATATTTGAATTTTCCAGCATTTTCTCTGATATATTTCACATTTTATAATTTGTCATAGTATATATGAGTTTTAAGATTTTAGGAAAGTGAGATTTACTAAAATGAAGCAAAAAAATCGACAAATTAACCAATAAAATATAAAAAATTAACCAATAAATATATTTATCTACAAATTACTTTTTTCCCTCTTTTTTCTATTTGTTGTATTTCTTGTGAAAAAAACATCGAATGATATTGATAAATAAAAAATGGTAAACTAATAAAAACCAAGGTTTACGTATCTTAACTGTGTAACAATATAAAAAATTAACCAATAAATATATCTATCTACAAATTACTTTTTTCCCTCTTTTTTTCTATTTGTTGTATTTCTTGTGAAAAAAACATCGAATAATATTGATAAATAAAAAATGGTAAACTAATAAAAACCAAAGTTTACGTATCTTAACTGTGTAACAAGTATATCTATTCCAGAATTATAAACTAATAAACATGTATTGAATAAAAATATTTCTTACTTCGAAAATATAATTTTTCTTACTACTTAATAAAGTTAAGATATATTTATAAAAAAGAAATGTAGCGTTAACAATATTATAAAAAATGCAATATAAAACTCGCATCAGAAAAGAATACTGCGGAAACTTCTGAAGAATTCACGTTACACGTTTCAAGAATAAACAAGCTTTATAAATAAGTAACAAGCTTTATAATAAGTACAGAATATTCCATTAGAATATTCTGCTTTATTTTTATTTTCAGAATCAGTATCTCTCCTAGACTGATTTTAGAAGAAACCATCGTGAGAAGCATTCAGATATGCGATGCAAACATCGATTAATCGGAATGTGATACCGACCCCGTTTGATATGCAAGCGATAACAGAACAAAGATCGGAATTTGACGGAGCTCGACGCAAGATATTCTTCTCGATTCACGAACACTGGATAAATTGATCAATAGATTCTTTTTTTTCGTCCTATGTTACATTTCTTAAACAGAATCGATTTAATGAAAATCGTTAGTGTTTCAAACATTCATAAGATTTTTTCACATTCGTAACAAGTATATCTATTCTAATTAATAATATAAACTGAAATATATATTTTCTACTAGTGAATATGACGATAAAGATGTTTCTAGAAAAATATAGCGTTACACTGCTACGAAAAATATAAAATACGAAATACATCAGAAAATGCTGGAAACAAAATTTTTTTTTTTTTTATGTTACATTTCTTAAACAGAATCGAGTTAACGCGAAAATCGTTAGTTTTTCAAACATTTATAAGATTTTTTCACATTCGTAACAAGTATATCTATTCTAGTTAATAATATAAACTGAAATATATATTTTCTACTACCGAATATGACAATAAAGATGTTTCTAGAAAAATTCGGGTGGAAATTTCCATTTCAAAAGCGTGGAAAATATAAAATTGCGTCGCCCTCTTAGAAAAAAAAAAAAAAAAAAAAAAAAGTCTAATCCCAACCGTTTGTCCTTTGCAAACACGACTAACACAGCAGGTAATGCGATGCGTTTGGAAATGATCGTACCTTATATCGTATATTTGAATTTTGTTTCCAGCTTTTTCTGATGTATTTCGTATTTTATATTTTTCGTACCAGTGTAACGCTATATTTTTCTAGAAACATCTTTATCGTCATATTCAGTAGTAGAAAATATATATTTCAGTTTATATTATTAACTAGAATAGATATAGTATACTTGTTACGAATGTGAAAAATTCTTATGAATGTTTGAAACACTAACGATTTTCATTAAATCGATTCTGTTTAAGAAATGTAACATAGGACGAAAAAAAAGAATCTATTGATCAATTTATCCAGTGTTCGTGAATCGAGAAGAATATCTTGCGTCGAGCTCCGTCAAATTCCGATCTTTGTTCTGTTATCGCTTGCATATCAAACGGTCGGTATCGCATTCCGATTAATCGATGTTTGCATCGCATATTTGAATGTTTCTTACGGCGTTTTCTCCCGAAATCAATCTATGAAAGATAGACAAGATTATTAGATTACATATTGGTTCTAGAAATAAATAGAAGTAAAATATTCTATGTTTATTTATAAAACTCATTTATCTCTGCAATGTGTAACGTCAAAATCTTCGTTACATTGCTATGAAAAATTTAAAATACGAAATACATCAGAAAATGCTGAAAACAAAATTCAAATATACGATAGAAAGGTACGATCATTTCCAAACGCATCGCACTACCTGTTATGTTACAAAGAATAAACGGACGGGATTAGACCTTTTTTTTTTCCTAAGGGGACGACGCAAAGAATTTTCCACGCTTTTGAAATGGAAATTTCCATCCGAATGTGTCCAACTTGTCTATTTTTGGACGTGAAAAATTACATTTACTTCAAACTCTAAGAAATTGAAAAATTCAGATTTAATAAGACAAATTTAAATAAACTAACATTAAATCAAACACTTTGAATATATTTATCTACAAAAAAATTTATTTTTTCCTCTATTTACTTCAATTTTTTGTAAAAAAAAAAATCAAATATTTTATTAACAAATAGTGAAATAATAAGAACCAAACTTTATCATGTATCTAAACTGCGACAAATACATCTACATTAGAATATAAATTAAAATTACGTCATGTTATATTTTTTATTATTCAATAAACTAGCAACAATATTTCTAAAAAAAATATAGCGTTACAATATTATAAAAAATGCACTACAGAACTCACAACAAAAAAGAATACTGCAGAAACTTACAAAGAATAGAAGATTTTGATGTTGCACATTGCAAAGATAAATGAGTTTTATAATTAAACATAGAATATTTTACTTCTATTTATTTCTAGAATTAATATGTAATCTTGTCTATCTTTGATAGACTGATTTCGGGAGAAAACGCCGTAAGAAACATTCAAATATGCGATGCAAACATCGATTATCTCAGAATGTGATACCATGCCTAATGTGCAAGAGATAAGACAACAAATATCGGAATATAACGGGATTCGACATGCAAGATATTTTTCCCCAATTTTGAAATAAAAACTTATATTCTAAAATCTGTGCAACTTGTGCGATCTTTTTCTCAGCTGGGAATTATTTATTTATAAACTTTCAAGAGATTGAAATCTACGAAATATAATAAAAATTTTAAACAAACATTTAAAAAAAAAAAAAAAAACACGAACAAGTCCAAAACGTTGAATATATTTATCTATAAATGAGACACTCTTTTTCGATCAGATATATTTTTTATTAAGAAAAGATTGAATTTTGATAAATAAATGAAACATTAAAAATATAAAATTATATAACATCAGTTTAAGTAACTTATGAATAGGGTTTATAAATTCGATCATTTCAAAATCTGTCACACCGCCTGCTAACGTACAAGAGATTCGAAGATAAACATGTGAAATCTATGCAAGGCCCGGATCTCTTCCCAATAATTTCTCGATAACTATCGTCTGGATAAAGATGTATAAGATATACTTTATTTATTCAGTACTAGATTTACTTTATCTTTTAGGCAAAGTTATCGAGAACTTATCAGAGGTGAAAAAATTTAGGTCACAAGTCCTAAACAAACGCGACTCAAGATATCTTTTGACTTTGAAATAGAATTTTCTATCCGAGATCTTTTCAAATTCTCTGCAGTCTTTTTTCCCAAGTGAAAAATTAGTCTATTAAAAAATCTTAAGAAAAAATTGGTAAATTGAGATTTAGTAAAACAATTTAATAACTAACAAAAATTAAATACTGGATATATTTGTATCTATAAATTATTTCTTTTTTTCTCTATTTGTTGTACTCCTTGTTAAACAAAATCGAACTTTAATGAAAAAATGATGATATAAACTAAATAAATCCCAAGTTTTTGCATACGGTGAATGCAACAACAAATAAATCAACTGTAATTAAGAATATAAAACTAAAATATATATTTCCTACTACTGAATATGATATATCAAAAATATATTTATAAAAACTGTGGCGTTGCACTATGAAAAATATAAAGGAAAATGCTGAGAATAACATTCAGATATATGCGATGCAAGATTCGACCATTTTCAAACGCGTCGCACTACCTGCTTGTGTCACATTGTGTTACAAACGACAAACAGTAGGTAGTCGGGATCGGCCCCTTCTCACTTCCTGTGGTGTAAAACCAGGAATGTGAAGAATCCCGAAATACATCGTAATAGGAGATACGCACACAAAAGCGAGCAAACGAACCTGAGCAAAGACATGGCTGCTTTTGTATTGCTTGTAAGCGTATCTCCTCCACCAAGATATATTCGAAATCTTTCTGATTTTACGTGTAACACGTGTTACAAAGGAGAACCGGATGGGATCGGCCCCTTTTTCCTTAGAATACAACACAAAATACGTTTCACATTTTCGTAATGGAAATTTCCATCCGAGATCTATTCAACTTGTCTATTTTCTCACGTGAAAAATTATATAATTTATTTAAAACTCTAAGAAAGAAATTGAAACATTCAAAAATTCAGATTTAATAAAAAAAAAAAGAAAACAAATCCTAACATTAAATCAAACACTGAATATATTTGATATTTGATGCTTTCGCGGTGTGTAGTATTAACGTACAAAGATGTTTTTTCAGTATCAGGCTGCTCTTCAAACCCTGATGAAAAGCGAGCTGTAATGTTCACGAAACGTCGGTATAAAAATGACACTAACGCGGTTCAAACTGAATATATATTTATCCATAAATTTATTTTTTTCCAATTAAATCTTATTGAAGCTCGACAAGTTACTAAACTAAGAAATATATGGACCGTTTATTTTGAAAGTGGTGTAAGTCCATTTTCTTTTGTTTCGAGAAACTAGTTATACATAAAAAATTTACATTAAATTAAGCATGAATTACGTGATATCTCATTTTTTTTCAAAAATGGACTTACACCACTTTCAAAATAAACGGTCCATATTATCGGTCATCCGAGCCGATCGCAGGATGTTGTGCGGAAAACGGCGCGTATATAAACGGCATATATACAATATATATATATATATATGCATATATATATTTGTTCGCGTGTAAATTTTTACGCGCGAGTTTATTTTTTCCCCTATTTGATTCTCTATGTCTTGTAACAACATTCTTGTAAATAAATTAAATATTTTAATGACAAATAAAAAGTAGTAAAATAATAAAAACCAAACTGTCATATATCTAAAAACTGCAACAAACACATTTACTCCAGAATATAAATTAAAATATAACAAGTCAGAAAAGATATTTCTAAAAAAATATATAGCGTTACTATAAATACGATAAATAAAAAAAAACACATTTATTCCAGAATATAAATTTAAAATATAACAAATCAGAGAAGATATTTCTAAAAAAATATATAGCGTTACAATAAATAAATATTACGATAAATACTATAAGTACAATAAATAATGCGCTACAGAAAAGAATATTGCAGAAACTTAAAGAATTGAGGATTTTAACGTTATACATGCTGCAAGAATAAGAGAATGTTTGTCGTGTGAAAACAACAATTTTTGGTCGATTCGAATTGATCGAATTTTTTCTTTCATATTATTTATCAATTTCGCACGAATTGCAAACAGGTTCATATCCGGATTCTGTTTATTTATCGTTCATTTATATTCCGCAGACGATCTATACGAACGCGGAAAAACTGCGTATATATTTATAGAAAATCTACGCGTCCACGGCAGCCATCTTGCTCACGTTTTAAGAAAAAAAACGGCGTATGCAAGAAAAACCATTAAACAAATTAGCTAAAATAGTGAAAAATTGCTAGTTTGGTAATGCAATATCTGCGTGCGTTTGCAGGATTCGATGAATTTACGACGACAGAAACGTTGTCGAAGGCGAGTTAACGCGCGAGAACGAAGTCGCCGAGAGATAAAACATGTTAATAAATTTTTGTACTCACCGAAGTAGGGCTTGTCGTCCGCCGAGCGGCCTCCACGGGAGTTCCACTTGTTCGTCTTCTTTGGCATCTTCTCGAAATACTCGGACAATGAAGAAAACTCGGAAAAGCAGCAGCAAGGCTATATCGCTTACTCAACAATCTCTGAACACTCTGACTATCGCTAGCTGGACGTTGCTCAAACGACTGAAAGCTCGCTAAGGCGAGATCTCTGTTTTCGCTTCTTATATAACCTCGGTATCCCGCGCCAATACGCATGCGTCGCATAGCACCTCCTTCATGTACGCCCGCAACTCTCGCTGATTTGTTGAGTTCGGAACGGAAGTCAATCCGATTGGTCAATTCTTGTCCTTTACTCTTTGAGGTCTCGGACCGATTTCCAATTACACTGTATCGTCGTAGCTGCGTTCCGAAATTCACCGTCAGTACTGGATTGCGTTCCAAAATTCTATTCCCTGAGTAGCTGAGTTAGGCCTGGTTTATACGGGCAATAACTGTTAACTTGTGCCGGAACCGCTAGAATTTAACTATAGAATTTCAATACTTCTGTTTATGCGCATTCGGCAATTTTGTATAAACAGAAGCATTGAAACCAGGCCTTAAGCCTTGTTTATGCGGGCAATAACTGTTAACTTGTGCCGGAACCGCTAGAATTTAACTATAGAATTTCAATACTTCTGTTTATGCGCATTCGGCAATTTTGTATAAACAGAAGCATTGAAACCAGGCCTTAAGCCTTGTTTATGCGGGCAATAACCTTTAACTTAGGGCGATGTCCCATTGAGCGGAAATATATAGCGGAACGGAATGTGCGGAACCAGCTCGACCAATCATAGCCATTCCGTTTTCTTTCCTTCGCTTTTTCTATGGTTACGATTGGTCGAGCTGGTTCCGCACATTTCGTTCCGCTATATATTTCCGCTCAATGGGACATCGCCCTTAAGCAAGATGGAACGAACTAATGCAGGAAATGCAGGAAATACAGGAATTCATTAGTTCCAATTTCAATTTGACAGGTTTCCATCGACTTAAATTTGATTCTACGTCGCATTAGGTGTGAATTAATGCTTCGGTGGAAACTAGACCAGTAAGAGATGATAGCATGCATGTAGCATGCATAGAGTGCGTTCAGACAACTCAACAGTTGCACAACAATTGAGAGATAATCACTTCTGATTGGATCATACTTTTGGAACCGCATCAGATTTTGAAGAATAATCCTATCATGGTTGCGTTCGGGGAGCGCACTATCAGCGCTGTTGCATTATTCTATTTTTATTGCTCATTAGATGTAAAACAAAGATAGAATGACGCAATAGCGCTGATAGCGTGCTCCCCAAACGCAGCCCATAAGTGATAATCTCTCAACCGTTGAGTTGTCTGAACGCACCCATAAGCCTATGTCACACTACAAATTAGGATTGAGATTGGATTGCAATTTGGCCAATCAGAGAGAAGATCACTAAACTTAGGATTGGTTTTCTTTTTTCTAATTGGTCAAATTTCAATCTAATCTCAATCCCAATCCGTAGTGTGACATAGGCTATAGACTTGGGCTGCGTTCCGTTTCACGCATATGCGCGCATGTATCTATAGTACACGTTACATATACTACAGATAAATGCGCGATTAAGCATGAAACGGATCGCAGCCTTAATTCTACGCCGTTTCAAAACGCGAAGTAAAGGTTTGTTCACATCGCATGCCTCAACATGCTTTTATTCGCTTCAACGCGCTTTTTTTTTTCAATGAAACTTTAATAAAACTTCAAAACTTTTTTAATAAAAAAAAGTCGCACTCACGGCCGATTTCTTCATACCTCTCGATAGCTATCCTCTGGATAAATTCCTCTGAGAACCAATAAGGAGAACCAATTTTGGGAGATATCTTCTAGATATAGTTTTCGAAAACTTATCTAGAAGTGAAAAAATTGGCTGTCAGTGCAGGCTACCGAATTTGCAGTTATTACTAGCTTCACAGGTGCAAATGGTGGCGGTCCGTTTTATGCTTAATCGCGCATCTTAATTATCATCATTGGGTGCGTTCAGACAACTCAACAGTTGCACAACGGTTGAGAGATAATCACTTCTGATTGGATCGTACTTTTGGAACCGCTTCAGATTTTGAAGAATAGTCCTATCATAAGTGATGATCTCTCAACCGTTGAGTTGTCTGAACGCACCCATTTATCTGTAGTATATGAGTGCGTTCAGACAACTCAACGGTTGAGAGATTATTACTTATGATAGGGCTATTCTTCAAAATCTGAAGCGGTTCCAAAAGTATGATCCAATCAGAAGTGATTATCTCTCAACCGTTGTGCAACTGTTGAGTTGTCTGAACGCACTTAAGCCTATGACACACTACGAATTGGGATTGAGATTGGATTGAAATTAGACCAATCAGAAGAAAGAAAACCAATCCTAAGTTTAGTGATCTTTGCTCTAATTGGCCAAATTGCAATCCAATCTCAATCCTAATCCGTAGTGTGACATAGGCTTTATGACATGCGCAGTCGAAAAACTGCGTACGAGCATACCTTTGTCTTTCTACCATGCACCAAACTAACCTAAATAAATAATAATCTCTTCTAATCTTTGAAGGATACACATGTTTAAAGAGAATACACATATTCATATATTGTGTATCGTGCATTGAGACTATATTATAATAATGGTAAAACGTTTTGTTGTATAATTTAAGAATACATTTTTTAACCAATAATAAAAATATTTAATGGTTTAGTTTCAAAAGATTGTAGTTATATTTTGATCTTTTATAGATATACCGTCATGGACCCAGTTTTTAATCAGTATCCAATTTTTGATCAGTTTGTTAAAAAAATATTATAGTAAGTTTTTGGTCATAAAAAGTAATCAGAAAACAATTTTGGCGAAGTACTTATTCCGACATCCATATACTTCCTTTCAGACTAATTTTTATGACCAAAACCTTACTATAATATTTTTTTAACAAACTAATCAAAAATTGGATACTGTGTGATTAAAAACTGAGTTCAAAACAGTAACTATAAATATGTACACATATAACTATAAATATATATATACTATAAATACATACATAATACACTGACATTAATACAATTTTTGTTAAAATATTTATATTTTCTATATAGGGAAAAAATAAAAGGACACGTAGAGTTGTAACACAAAGATTTGCCCAGATGAAGAAGATGATCAGTCTGAGTGATTCACGATTGTAAGTGTTTTATATATATTTTGTTTAGCAAATTGTTATTTTATATTTATGAATGATAAAAATAGAAAGTAAAACAAATATGTTTAACAGAAAACCAGAGAGACGATTGCCATCGAAGAAAGCTCCAAAGGAAGATCTATCTAAAATAAAGATTACAAGAACGTAAGTAATGTTACTTATATTTTATACATATGTATATAGTTTATTTTTTCTGTTTTTTGTTTTAAATTATTTTTAATAAAAATAGTTTTAAATCATAAAGATTCCATAATCAAATTACAGACCGTTAGGAGTTAAAAGACATGATAAATTAAAAAGATTTATTTATATTAATTATACTGAGATAGATTGTTTGACTTTTGATTTAATTCTTTTAAGCCAGTTTATTATATTAAACTTGATTATTACATTACTTTACTTGAAAAAGTAGTTTAGCTTAAAAATAGAATCAATTTTTTATGTAATGATGATTATATATTATATATATTATATATATTATTATATATTATTATCTTTTGAAATTTATTTTATTGTATTAATTTTATTAATTGTACTTCATCAATTGTAATTATACGTTCATTNATTGTAGAAATGCATTTGAAAAGGACCTAATACAAGGGTCGAAAGCGTTCATGCTATTTACTATTAATTGTTAATAAACGGATTTTAATATATACATTCCAACAACAGTGTTATTGCTTCAATTTTTTATATTATGTTTTTAAAAAATGTTTGAATTATGTAATTTATATATATTTCTAGACCACAGCAATCATCAGCATTGTTTTTTCAATATAACATGCAGCTTGGACCACCGTATCATATTTTAATAGACACAAATTTTATCAACTTGTCTATTAAAAACAAATTAGATATTGTACAAAATATGATAGAATGTCTTTATGCAAAATGTACACCTTATATCACAGACTGTGTGATGGGTGAATTAGAGAAGCTTGGACAAAAGTATAAATTAGCATTGAGAATCATCAAAGACCCACGATTTGAGAGATTAAAATGTCTGCATAAAGGAACATATGCAGACGACTGTCTAGTAAATAGAGTGACACAAGTAAGTACAGTATCTTATTGCATGTTATTATCTTACAATATCTTATTGTATATTAACAAATGCTTTTATTTGCATTGGATATAGTAATAATATAAATTTACTTATTATTTATTAGCTAAAAAACAGTACACTAAGAAAATTACGTTATTTCAGCACAAGTGTTATATAGTGGCAACTAACGACAAAGATCTCAAAAGAAGAATACGAAAAATACCGGGTGTACCAATAATGTACATATCTCAGCACAAATACACAATAGAACGAATGCCAGATGCATATGGCGCACCTAAGTAGTTTTACTTTATTTAGATCTTTTTTGTAATAATTATGTTTTTATTACATTTTAAACATAACATTTTGTATATATAAAATAAAATAAATTTATTACATATTAATTGCACATATTTATTTTTTTGGAAAATGATAAAAATTTATACAACCATTTGTATGATTTTAAAAATTATAAAACATTTATCTTTCTTTTAGTCAAAAAAAAAATTAAAATAAAGATCTAAAGACTCTTATGGTAACAAGGTAAGAAAAAGTAAAGGTTTAAGAATCAAACACAAGATGTCGCTGCAAGTTTCACGAGATCGATTCCCGATCTAGAACATTTTTACTATTTCTTTTATTTATTGTTTTACACTTATATATTTATGAAGATTATTATTTATAATATTTATGAACATTTTGCGTTTTTTAAATAATTTTTTGTTGATTATTTCTTTTGTTTGTTGACAATAAGATATAATATTCTATTTGCAGATAAGTTTAAACCATATGTATAGAATTCATATTATTATAAAAAAAGTCACATTTTCTCTTTTAACATTTGCAGAAAAAGTTTTACTTTTATATAATTTATATGTAACGAGCTGTATTCTACATATATATTTTAATGTCACTACGTAGTAAAACTTGTCTGGTAGGATTTACGTATCACGATCTTCAAGATTGAAAGAATTCGAGATATACATATATGAAGATTAATGTAATTGATAAATTTTTTTTATTTGTTAGAAGTGTCACAGCTTTTCTATATCTGGATAAATAACAAGATTTCTTCTTAAATTATTATTATTTTTCTAATATTGCAGAACAAATAGCATATACGCGTAGCGTTATTAGAAAGAAAACTCAGCAAATTAATCAAGCGTTTATACGACCAATTTAACGTTATGTTGCACATCGTTTGAAGACAGACATGTTTCTTCAACTCAAAAGAATGTTTCTTTTACTTTTATCTAAATCCATGTAACGCGAGAATCAACTCGAAGCGTCGCTTGTTCCGACGAAAGGGAAGTAAAGAATAGAGAAGGAAAGCGCCGAAGGAGGGACCGGTCTGTTTCATGCACGTAAATCGGCCGGCTTATCAAAGTACCAACTAATATACGTATCTTTGCAAAATAATCGTACTCACTAAATTAGATTAAAAAAAAAAAAACATCAACGGTATGACATAGAAAAGTCGTAAGAAAACTATAAGAGAAAGAAAAGTAAAAAAGTTGAAGAAGGAAAGAAAAGAGAAATTGATTTGAAAATATAATCATAAAATATTTTTTATCAATTACATCTTCTTTTTTTAATATAAATAATGTTTGATATCACAAAAGATGCCAGTTTTTATTTACACAAAGTCTGAATAAAAAATTTCTTTTTCATTATCTATAAATAATCGCTATCGATCAGAGCACGCGTAGTTTAGTTATCAATTAAACAGTGCCAGGCGCTTTAAATTATTATAAATCACAAACCGTACCCCAATAGGCCCCGAAATTGTGAAAATATTGCACAAAAATGGCATCACGAACGACGACGATTTTGCAAGAATGCACTAAGATGATTCGCCATAACGCGCAACAGTTTTGTCAAAATAAAATTTTGTAAATAATATTTGTCAAAAATTTATAGAAAAGAGTCGTTATGCATTTCCATAAGTATATACACGAATTAATTTGATTTCTTCGTATGCAATTATATTTCTACATGTTTTAAAAACATCACATAGCTGAAATCTTTTTCTCAATTATTGAACAATTTCTTTTTTAAATTTAATTTTGCAAACATACTGCTAAGATGATTCGCCATATCGTTAGTGTTTTGCCAAAATAGTATTTGAAAATCAAGTTTACAAACAGTAACAAATATTTCATAAAAAATCAATATTTTTTATCTATTTCTCAAAATATATAAATAATTAAGTAAATAATTAAGTTGATTTCTATATACAATTTAAATTCTACATATTTTAAACATCACATAGCTGAAATTTTTTTCTCACTTATTAAACAATTTCTTTTTGAACTTAATTTTGCAACTATACTGCTAATTGTAAGATGATTCGCCATATCGTTATTGTTTTGTCGAAATAGTTAATATTTGGAGATTAATTTTGCAAACAGTTACTAATATTTTTATAAAAGATCAATATTTTGACATCTATTTTTCAAAATATATATCTACATAATTGCAAATCACAATTTTCATGCAAAATTTTGTCACATCAATTTCATAAATGTTTTCCTATCATAAGATAAGAATACATTGATAAAACCAATAATAAAATTAAATATAAAAAGAAGGTCTGTTACGAGCTAAATAGAAGATCTTTGTATTTATTTAATTATAATATCAAAAAACGTATAATGCATAATGCAATATAAGTAACGCACGCAAACGTTTCGACTCTTACTTGAGTCATCTTCGGTGAACATAAAAAATTAAAAAGATAAACAAAATCACGCCATTCAGAAGATGATGGTGGTGTGGATGTTCTCAATATAATAATATAAATTGTAAAATCTTACATATTGTAGTTGTTTGAATGTTTAGAGTCAAAAATCAAACGGTGAACATTGATAAAACTTCGAAACTTTGTGCCGTGTAACAAAGTATTTTAACAACATCTTTGTAAGTGAAGTAAATTGTTTTTTTGTTTTTTTTTTTTTTTTTAATCAAATAATTATTGCAAATCTTACGGAGGAAAAGAGAGGTCCGAAAGGATCGAACGCGAGACGTTCGATCGCGATAACGGATCAGCTATAAATGTAACTATATAGGCCTGCATATATCTACAGGTCATGGGTCCGTATTCCGAGATATTTCTTCTCTTCTCTTTTTGTGTTTTCTCTTTATCATCGTTTTGACGTTTCCGTGCCTTTTCATGTGGCAATCTGCACCCTTTCAAGTCTAAGGGTGTTTCCCCGTCTACCCTTCCAAATATTGTCTCTTCTCTTCCACATATTATTCATCTTTCTTCTTTGTCCTTCTTTCTCTCGTTGTGATCTCCGTACATTTGCTCTTTCTCTTTCGTTTTTTCTTCTCTCTCTCTCTCTCTTTCTCTCTGGTCCACTCGACGTCTCTCTTGTTCTCACTATGTCTTTCTCGTTCCTATCGATGGGCAACGTCCTCGTCGCACGGAACTTCAGCGCGCGGCGGCCATATTGCATACCTGAGCCTCCGCATTGCTCGTTCCTCGAGGGCAAAAGGGAGAATATCTCAGCGAGACGACGGCGGGATGCGCGAGGTGAGTCGAAGGAAGAATCGCGCGTGGAAGATGGCGAGGAGGAAGGGCTGAAGAGAGGTGAGACGTTAGAGGGAAAGGAGAGGAGTGGCAGAACGGGGGCCCGCTGCTCCAAACGCGTGAGAGAGTGAGTAAAAGAGAAGGAGAAAGAACAGACGAAGAAGCCTATAAGGCCGATAAGCAATGGTATGGTGAAAAGGGTGGGAGGGTGAGAAACGGGAAACAGGTAAGAGAGAAGGTGGGAAAGAGAACTGAAGTAAGAGAGCGAAGAAACTGAGCGCTCGGGGAAAGAGAGAGCAACAAAGACAGAAGTTTGAACGTTTCTTGACACGAAAGGGAGAAAGAAAGAGACAAAGCAATGTTGATAGAAAGAGCAAACGAGATTATTGTAGAGTGCGGTGAAACTACGTTTCATGAAACGAAGGACAGAGAAGGTGATATTGATAGGCCCCGCGCGGGTTGATCGGGAGGAAGGTAAGAGATGGAGTAAGAGCAAGAAAGAGAGATTAGAGTTGGGGCCCGATGGATCAGAGAAGGACGGCGTCAACCAGCCCGAGAAGAATGCTTCTCCCGGCAGAGGTGAGGTTCTGGGACCGGCTCGATTCAGTCGAGTCAGGTCAGTCTTCGCGAAAGAGATATTCTTCTCCACACGGTCGCGTTCCGCGTTCTTTTGGGGGCCTTATGTCGCGCTTATTTTGGAGCCCCCTCGCGTTTTCGTTATTTTTCCTTTATTCCATTTATTTTTTCCTCTCTTCTCATATTGTCGATCATACTCCGCGCTTAGAATTTATCTTCATCTCCTGATAACGCCTGTTCCGAGAAGCGCACGCGCACAAATCCAGTTGTGTTATACTCGTGAGATCGCTCTACGGTGAATCTCCGAGCACAAGCATTGCATCGCGATCGCGTGGATTTTCTTGACGATTTTCGTAAAAGATAGCGTTATCAGCGCGAGTCCGACGAAGTTGCAAACTCGAGAGTGATTCGCGAATTTGAATTCCCATTCTCCGAGGCGAGGCCCCGCTAAATCTGTTCGATCGAATTGTTATTGTTAATCGGTGACTGCGAAAATATGTACACATTGTAAATCGTGATTTTGTTATGTGTTCCGTGCATTTGAATCTGATGTGTTCTCGTTTCTGTGTAGTGTTTACGTTACAAGTTTTACCGAGCTTAATACAGGCTGATAATAAAATCATAGATTATTAAGAATCTGAGTGTTTTTTAACATAACTATTGCCAATAAACAAACAACTTTGTTGTCATCGAGAATCACTTTTTTTTTTTTTTAAACGGTTTATTATTGAGAGAGATTGCAGTATGACAGAATGAAGATGTAAACTCTTAAACACGCGTGATGTAGGTATTATGTTTTCGAACCCCGCAAGAATTAGGAGATCTGTCTGAAAAATTTTCAAGAAGAAAGAAGAAGATATATATTCTTTCGATCATAAATTGGATTGTAAATCGAAAAAGCGACCGGAACAACTCGTTCTTCTGTTTGCAGAATCTCACGAATATATCCGCAGACGCGCGTTTTGCGAGGCGCGGCTCTCGGAGGGTCACTGCCCCCTCTGCCGAGAGTAAAGTTTCTTTTCGTGTACACTTGAATTTCGATAAAGAAAAGAATAAAAGAGAGAGAAAAAAAGAATTTAAAAAAAAAAGAAAAAAAATAGAAAGTAAAAAAGGAAACAAGATAGAGAAATATTTATAGAAAAAAAAAAACGATAAGTATATTGGCCACCTTCAGATGCCCATGTTCAAATCGAGAAACTGGATGAGAAGAAACAATGCGACGTAGACAGACAACGTTTCACGTAGTTGCGCGTGATTAATCTTCATTTTCAAAGAATGTCGCGATACGTACAATGCACCGATACATAGACGCGGAAGACGACGACGGGATTATCGTCGGTCACGACCATGAGGAGGCAGAACGACAGGTAGTACGTAATCGGACCGCGCGATTTTATGCCGACGACGAGTCACCGTGAGCCGAGATTTGGCTAAGACAGGTGGGCGTGTCGCGGCGAGACAGAAGAGATGATCATAAGGGAATTGATGATCTTGGCCCTGCTCCTGGGACTCCTGTCAGCGGTGGACCAAAATGGCGGCCAGGTCGTCGGCCAGGACGCAGTGGTGGTGGCGACTGCGGCAGTGTCTGATAACTATTTTATTTCTGGTGACCTATCTCAAAAGGTCACGCGGTTAGTGCCACGAAGGTCACCAATGTTGCCGCAGGACAGCGCCGCGACGACGGATCTAGCGATGCAGAGCAGAGCAATCTACAAACGATTCAACTTTGATGTCAAAGAGGGCGAGCCCAAGGGTACTGTAGTCGGCACGATACCGATGGAAGATACTTATACCTACAGGATTAACGAACCGCCCCAAGAATTTGATTTCGATCCGAAAACTGGCGAAATAAGAACAACCAAGATACTCGACCGTGAAGCTTTAAGCAGCGATCAGTTTGACTTCGTTGTGCTGTCAAGTAAACCGACCTATCCAATCGAGGTGCGAATTGTGGTGACTGACATTAACGATAATAGTCCGGAATTCCCAGAGCCTAGCATCGCGGTGAGCTTCTCGGAATCAGCTGTGACCGGCACTAAGCTTCTGCTGGACGCTGCGACGGATCGAGATACACCAAAGAACGGTGTGGTAGACAAATATTTTATTGTAAACGGTAATACAGAGGAAAAGTTTCGTTTGGAAGTCACCGGCAGTCCCACTGGTGAGACAAAATATCTGCACCTAGAGACCACAGGCAAGCTGGATCGTGAGCAAGTGGAGTTTTATTCTTTAAACATTTGTGCGGAAGACCTCGGCCAACCACCGCGCTTGGGTTACCTGTTAGTTAATGTGACAGTGTTGGATGTAAACGATAATCCACCTGTATTTCCCCTGACTGATTACGTAGTGACATTGAACGAAAGCGCACCAGTCGGTACGAAAGTCTTGACTGTGCATGCCACCGACAAGGACTCGGAAGACAATGCTAAATTAACATATTATTTGCCGGATAACGAGAGAAAGTTCATGATCGATCCAGAAACTGGAACAATTACGACGGCAGAACCATTGAGATGTCATCAACAAAGCTGTGTACCTCCTGGCAGCAGTTGTCCTAAAAGCTGTGTTATTACGGTCTTCGCCCGTGATCATGGTTCACCTAGGCAAGATGGCCGCACGTACGTAACGGTGAACCTGTTGGACGCGAACGATCACGATCCTGTGATCAAGTTCAGCTATTTGCCAGTGACCGCGACTTTTGCTACTGTTGATGAAAATGCTCCCAAGGAATCAAACGTTGCAGCAATAGCAGTGATGGACGATGATGAGGGACTCAACGGTGAGACCAGCGTGGAAATACGCGGCGGCAACGAGTTAAACCACTTCATGTTGTACAACACGCAACAGGGCTTTGATGTTGTGCGAGTTAACGGTCGATTGGATCGCGAAGAAATACCTAAGTACAATCTCACAATAGTCGCAATTGACAAAGGTACGCCGCCCAGATCAGCGACCGCTTACCTTGTGATCTATGTAAATGATGTTAACGATCATGAGCCGGTATTCCAGCAGAGCGAGTATTCAGCGGTGTTGTCGGAACTCGCGCCAATAGGTAGTTTTGTTACCAGCATCACAGCTACGGACGCAGATTCTGGATTAAATGCACAAATTTTTTACGAAGTCTGTTCGGGCAATGAACAAGGCTGGTTCGCCATGGATAATAAGACTGGTTTAGTCACTACTGTAGCCACCTTAGATCGCGAGATTCAGGGCAGCATCGAATTATACGTGTCAGCGTTGGACGGTGGCCCAAATCCCAAGTACGCGAGCACGCATCTTAAAGTGACAATTCTCGACGAGAACGACGAGGCGCCGCGCTTTTCTGAAAATATCATCGAGGTCACGTTATCAGAAAATATTCCACCTCACAGTCTAGTAGCTACTCTTAGCGCTATCGACAATGATCAAGGTACCAACGGTAGCGTCGCGTATAGTTTTCACTCCAGTGTTTTGCGCGATTATCCTAAAACTTTTGCATTGGATGCTCTAACGGGTCAGTTGACAACGGTGACCAATTTGGATCGAGAGACTGTGGCAGACTATAAAATTCTAGTAATAGCGAAGGATCAAGGCACACCGGTGCAATCTTCAACTGCAACCGTGTTATTAACACTGGAGGATGTCAACGACAACTCGCCAATTTTCTACCCCTGGAAATATCTAATGCCCATCTCTGAAAACGCTCCACCGGGTACGATGATAGGCAAAGTTACCGCCACTGATGCCGATGCTCGAGAAAATTCTCAAGTGAGATATTCCTTGGAGTCCGGTGGCGAGGGTCTTTTTGTAGTAGATGAAAAAACCGGTGAAATTGCTCTTCAAGGTTCTCTGCGAGCTGCGCACAAAACTTTGTACGAGCTAATCATCTCGGCAAAAGACACCGGTGACCGAGTGGCGGCCAAAAATGCCATGGTAGAAATTATTCGCAAAGAGGATTTGGAACATCTCGAATTCAACACCTACAACGGCTACGAATTCCGTATTTCCGAAGATCGAGGCGACTGCGATTCCATACCGTCTGGATTCCACCGAGATGTCGGCACGGTACATGTTTCGGAATATGGTAATATCGGTAAAGTGAGCTATGCTATTGTGTACGGCGACCCGAAGGGTAATTTCAAGATCGACGAGAGTAGCGGCACTATTAGTACTGCCAGTTGCCTGGATCGCGAACGTATCAGTTCTTACAGTCTGCAACTATCAGCGCGCGCCAACCTTGCGTACGGCCAGACGACTGTCAACATTACCGTACTGGATGTCAACGACAACTCGCCACGGTTTCCCAAAGAGGAACGAGGCGATGAGATCTTCCTGCGAGAAAACGCGGCGGTGGGTCAAGAAGTGTGTTTGGCTCGAGCCCGAGATCGTGACGCTGGCGCAAACGCTAGAATCACTTATTCTCTAACACACAATCCAGATAGGCAGTTTAGAGTTGCCGAGAACTCAGGTATTATTTATTTAGATAAACCAATCCGTTCGGCACCCGGCACGATTCTTTATTTAGAAGTAACGGCAACCGATTCCGGTAGCCCGTCATTGTCCGCTCAGCATCAGATCAGGGTGACAATTGAAGACGTCAACGATCATACGCCGGTCTTTCGATTAACTAGTTATGAAACTTCTCTGCCAGAGTCTACGCCGGTCAATGAACGTTTCTTCTCGTTGACGGCTCACGACGCAGACCTTGGCTCTAATAGCAGGATATTATACAGCATCACCGATGGCAATGCCGAGGGTCGTTTCGGGATCTTTCCTGATGGCCAACTCTACGTGAAAAACGCGCTTGATCGCGAGGAGCGTGACTATTACGCGCTCGAGGTAACTGCATGTGATCAAGGTAGTCCCTCACGGAGTTCCGTTGTTCCTTTAGTGGTACATATAATCGACGAAAATGACAATGCGCCCGAATTCACCAACAGCAGTTTCATCTTTCATTTGCGCGAGAACGAACCGCCCGACATTTTCGTCGGCAAATTACTGGCAACCGATCGTGACGTCGGTCGTAACGCCGATCTTATATTCTCGTTACCGGCTACTCAGCAGGACTTCGTAGTTGATCCAAAAAACGGTTTTATCAAATCGCTACGCGTGTTTGATCGCGAACTCTTAGTAACAAACACCGGCAGCAGCTATATTAATTTGGAGGCTACTGTCACCGACAATGGCGTTAATCGTCTTCGTGACCGCGTCAAGGTCACCATCTACATCACCGATGTCAATGATAACGTGCCGCAATTCCAACGATTGCCTTATCGAGTGCAGGTGAGCGAAGGCGCCATAATTGATACGCAGCTATTGAGAGTGTACACAACTGATAGTGACGAAGGTTTGAATGGTGATGTTTTCTACTCGCTGGAGGACGGCAATCAGCACGGTCATTTTATGATAGACGAAGCCACCGGCCAGATCTCGCTAGTGAAGGAACTCGATCGTGAAACATCTGATACCTATGTGCTGACTGTCGTGGCACATGATGCCGGCCTGGAGACGCGTCTATCATCCAGCGCAACCGTTCATATCGACGTGCTCGACGAGAACGACAATACACCACGTTTTGTTGACAATAAGTCGCAAATCTCCGTACTCGAAACTACTCCAACTAATACCGAACTGTTGCGATTCAAAGCTACTGACAACGATCTCGGGGCAAATAGCGAGTTAACGTTCACTATATCGGCCGGTAACAAGAAAGACGCTTTCTACATCGACCCGTTGACCGGTATTTTATATCTGAAAAAGCCACTAGATTACGAAGAATTACCTCGACACAGGTTGAATGTCACCTGCAACGACGGCGGTCATCCAAAGCTGAGCTCGGTCACCACTCTGACTGTTGAAGTAATTGACACCAACGACAATCCGCCAGTGTTCCCGAACACCGCAATAGTACGTCAGATACGTGAAGGTATTCCTGTGCGAACACCCATCGTCACCATTATTGCCGAAGATCCGGATTCGGACGATAACGGTGAAGTTAGCTACTCAATTCTAAGCCAAGATCCGGAAGATCAAGTGCGGCGTTTTGATATTGATCCTACGACCGGCGTGATTCAAACGTTACAGTTGATTGATCGCGAAGAGGTAGATACCTTCAAGCTGGTGGTGGTTGCGACTGATAAGGCGCAACCGCCAAGTGCTCGTCTGTCTGCCGAGAAAGTGGTAATCGTGATCGTTGAAGATGTGAATGACAACGCGCCGATCTTTATCAGTATGTCAGCGGTTGTGTTGCCATCTTTAAATACCAAGAATTTCAATCGTCATCATTCCCTAACTAAAGAAGTTATGATCACTCAACTGGTTGCTCGCGATCTCGACTCAAGCACTAACGGTTTGGTGACATACGAATTACTTCGGTCCAGCGTCAAATATTCGGACATGTTCAAAATTCACCGTAGTACCGGTGTGTTGACCATGAGACTCCCACAATCGACTTCGAAGAACGAAAGTCGTTCTTTTGAACGGATATTCAAATATCAGGTGGGTGTTAGAGCGACAGATGAGGCGGTCCAAACAGACCGTCGCTCATCAGAGACCTATGTGACGTTGATCGTACCGGGCGAAAACAACGACGATCAGCCGATCTGGGAACATCGGAGTCAGATCGAGGGCAGCGTTTACGAGAACGAGCCGGTTGGCACCAGTATCTTGCAAGTGAGCGCGCGTAGCCGTCATACTAACATCGAGATTGAGTATTACGTGACGAACGTGACCAGCGGGGGCGGACCTGGGAACGGGCCTCAGGTTGAGCGGCTGTTCGACGTCGACATGAAGACCGGCGTGCTGTCTACCGCTGCCCAACTTGATCGCGAAACCGGTGCTCGGTGGTACGAGGTAGAGCTGTACGCCATAGGTATAGGCGGCACCAGGCCCAGTACAACGTTCACCAAAGTAAGTCCACACTCGGTTTTTTGATTGATCGTCTCGATGATATTAATGATCCTTCCTTCGTCGGCTCCTGAAAGATATTCGGTGCTTTTTGTGTGGCAAATGCCCCATCCCGCGTGTTCGCCCCGCGTAATGTGATTTCTCGATTGTCGGATAAGACTCAGAACGACAAGCGAGTTCAGATTAGTGTCCACAGCGAAAGATTTAAATGGAGATAATTTAATTGCTAAAATAATCCACCTTAGGATGGAGTATGAGTTGTATTCGTCGACGTGGTAAAAACACTATTTTTTTTAATAGAAAATCTGTACAATAATTTTAGCATTCTACCCTTACTATATTTATTCGCGTTCACCTTTTCTTAATTTTATTTCCCCACGTTAATTTCTTCCCCTCATTCTCGGTTGACACAATAATTAGAGTGGCATATGTATGCATGTGTCTTTCGCTCGCAGACATGCGATAATTCGATCGACTGAGATTCGTGTTACGCAACAATACCCTTAATGCAATTAGAGTCAGTAATAGAGAGATATATGTATGAGGAGGAGAAAACAGAAAGGAGCAAGGGGAGAGAAAGATTCACGGGAGATGAGGAGCGATAGGTGGAAGGACAACACGCGCGCACGAAGAGAAGAATGAGCTTCTCTTGTAGTAGGGAGAAAAAAAAAAAAGAAAAGAAGAGATGCGGAGGAGGAGAATGAGGAGAAGCGGGTATCGTGAATACGAACGGTTTACAGCCGGTTCAGTGCTGCATAAATAGGGCTTAGGACTCGAGACGTTTTCTCAAATTACAGGGCGCGTTTCAAATTTATACGAAAGCGCCGCACCGTCACCGCCACCGCTATACGGCTGCCTCGTTTTATTAGAACGAAGCATATCCTAATTAATTCGCGCATTTTACTTTGCGTTTATATACGGTGTCTCACAACTCGAGATCTTGTCTTTAATACTTAGCTCGTAAGTCGAGTTATGCTCGATATATTTAATATCTTATTCCAACAACTCGTATACCATAAAAAGTAAAATATTGAGATCACACGCGCGTATGTGTGTATAATAAAATCTTATTATATAAATTTGAAAAAATATCAATACCAATCAATACTTATTTTGTCCGAGAGTATGATATTAGTATCATACTCTGAATGTGCCTATTTCTTATATTGATATATTGTTTTCCTGTTATTCATTTTTCTCTTTTTATTTGTTACATTTAATATTTCTATATATTTTTTTTTTACTTCTATATTATTTTATATATATTATTCTATATTATTATATATTCTATACTTAGATATTTTTAACAATTAAATCTTATTAAAGCTCGATACGTTACTAAACTACAAAATATATTTACGGTCATACGAGCCGATCGCAGGATGTTGTGCGGAAAACTGCGTATATATATATATATATACATATATATATATTTGTTCGCGTGTAAATTTTTACGCGCGAGTTTTTTGAATTGAATATCAATTCCTAAAGAAAAAAAAATTTTTTTAAATTACACGCGAACAAATATATATACGCAGTTTTCCGCACAACATCTTGCGATCGGCTCGTATGACCGTAAATATACTTCTTAAATATTTTTATATATACTTTCTACCATGTTGTTCGTTAATTATTTTCTCTTGTCAATTTCATATTTATATTTTGTTAATCGCGCTTGAGAGGCACCCGTCCCAGGGCGCGTTAAAAATAAAGCTATCTATCTATCTATCTATCCTACCAACTGTCAAAACAATCTACTATTTTTTCTTAATTTTTTAAAATCAAACATTTTACTTATAATAAGTTATTGGGACACTTCTATTGTTTTATTTAAATTTACGCAAAATTATTTTGAAAAACTCCAAATCTGGACATCATCTGCATATAGTATTGATGTCCTATCGCAATTCAGCCTTGTCGCGAAATCGAAGAGCATAACAGCAGTTGATGGCGAAAGAAGAAGAAGAGGAGACGGCTGTAAGAATAAAAGAGAGAAAGAGAGAGAGAAAGGGGCGAGTAGAAGAGAATAAACGACAAGATGAACCGCGTGCCAGGAAATCAACTCAGATTCGGGGGCTTCTCTCACTCTCCCGGAGGTTCGACTTGAGAAAAACTTGATCTCAGACGAGAGCGGATGCAGCTCTTACCTCTCGCGCGTTCTCAGAGGCTTTAGAAACGTGCACTCGGTTTCTCATATCTATCGCTGGTGCGCGCTAATTTTATTTCTAAAAATTTTTTTCTCGTCTTTTTTTTTCCTGTCTAATCTTGATTTTTTCTTTCTTCCGTACATATTCATCTTTTTTCTTTTTTAAATTTAACTTTCTTATTCAATAACATTTTATTTTACTATTTTCTTATTTTATATTATTATTTTCTGAAAAATATAAAAAGGAATAAAGAAAACACTTTATAAACATGTTTTGAACAATTTTTTTTATTTAAAAAGTAATGGTCTTCCCGAGTCGAAATTTAGCGTCTACATTGAACCTCAATTTTTCTTTTTTTATATAAGAGTAAGAGAGAGAGTAGATCCTACTTTGACGCTGCTATACGTCCGAAATTTCCTTTTTTCCTGCTAAAGTTTTAAAGTAGGGTTCAATTCTCAGATCAAACTGCGCATTGCAGGTTCTGATAGGCTCAAAATAGGTTCTGATAGGCTCAAAGTAGGAGTAAGAAAAAAAGTAGATGCTACTTTGACGCTGCTATACGTCCGAAATTTCCTTTTTTCACAAATTGAGGTTCAATGTAGACGCTAAATTTTGACTCGGGTTGATATAACACTCAAGTCGTTGCAATACCCGTATGTTTTCTCATATTATCGATTATATAAGAGTTCTTATATTATCGATTATATGAAAATATTCTTCTCACGATTAAATTTAATGTACGTAACATATAGCGATTTCCTTCTTCTTCTTTCTCTCTCTATCTCCTCTTTTGTAGCACGGTTCTTTTCTTCCAATCTTATCATTTGCTGCAGAATCCCCACTCTTTAGGAATCATCGATTCTGCAGTTCGGATGTTTTTACTCCGCTTTCGGGACTTGCTCTTCAAGTCCCGCGCTTCGTCTACTGGCCTCTATGACCTCCACGGTCCACCAAAAAGTCCGAACTCAGGCCGCTTCTTCCCTGGCGCTTTTGCAGGTTCAAAGCTGTTCTCTTTTTCGTCACGCGGACGGGGGATCATCGGCTTCGTTCGCGTCGACGGCTTTTTGCACGGTCTCCAAAGATCACGAGATTGTGAAGGCGACATTACAAAGTCATACAGTCGAAAGCGCGCTCTTCTGATTCTTTATACAACGATACATCTCTCAGCAAAGGTCGCACTTTCCACAAAGCGTGACTTCAATTATCATGTAATGGGACTCTAGTCGCGTCTGGATCTCTAGACTTTGTATAGCCAAGTGTATATCTCGCGATGTGCCGCGTCGCGCCAATGACTTCGGCAAACGTATCTGAAGTCCTTTGAACTTCGTGAACAAATTTCCCGCTCAAACCCGAGTCGAAATTTAGCGTCTACATTGAACCTCAATTTTTGAAAAAAGGAAATTTCGGACGTATAGCAGCGTCAAAGTAGCACCTACTTTTTTTCTTACTCCCACTTTGAGCCTATCAGAGCCTATTTTGAGCCTATCAGAGCCTGCAATGCGCAGCCTGATCTGAGAATTAAACCCTACTTCAAAACTTTAGCGGGAAAAAAGGAAATTTCGGACGTATAGCAGCGTCAAAGTAGGATCTACTTTCTCTCTTACTCCTGCATAAGAAAAGAGGAATTGAGGTTCAATGTAGACGCTAAATTTCGACTCGGGAAAGCTAAACTTTTATTATTCTTAAAATACATTATATATATATTAGGTCTACCGGAAAGTTCTGTCCGTTTTTGGAATAAAACAAAATACAAATTTTTCTTAATTTTTCAAAAATGGGATATACAAATTGCCCTCACGCTGGCAAGAAATCATTGATAATAATGGCAATTATATTATTTAATACAGTTTATTGACGGTAAGAAAAATTTGTATTTTGTTTTATTCCAAAAACGGACAGAACTTTCCGGTAGACCTAATATATACGTATATGTACATATCCAAAGTATAGTTGTGTTGGAATTTTCTTCGATCACTTAATTTTCCACTAATTATTTGAAAATATTTTTTGCAGCGTTTGTTTGAGAAAAATTCGCGGGATTTAACGAAATAACTGTTACAGCAATGAATTCAACACGTATACCCAGATAACCAAATCTGTCGAAACAGATGTTGCCAAAAGCTTGTTACAAATTTTATTAGCCGAAAGACATCAAATATGATGCAGAGTTTGTTTTGTCTGGCAATGTTGCAAAATGGCTAGCAAAAATATATTCAAGCTTGTTGACAAAACATAACAGCAACTTGGTGGCAAAAACGACGAAGCAAAGCTGTGTCGTGTTGCGCAAATCTTGCTTCATATCTGGCGTCAATTTGGTCTCGGACCAAAATATGTTTCAATATGTATCAAGCTTTGTGCTCGGTTTTTGCTAGCAATTTGCTGTTACTTTTTGTCGACAAGCTTTGGCAACAAAAAATCGAAGCCTAATGCGAACACAGTTGATTGCCAATTTGCTGAGTATTTTTGTTTGAAATTGCTGACAATTTGCCAGCAAATTGCGAACAAATTGTTTACTGGGATAATATAATAACTGTTAAAATACATTATTCATGTTAAATTATCGTACAATTTTATTTGCATTATAAATATTATATTTTTATTACGCTTAAACTAGAGAATCGAAGAGAAAAAAAAAGTAGCGTTCAATTTCGTTATATTAATGTCAGTGCAAAAAGATGTGAGAGTCGAGAATCGCTATATGACCTATATATACGTTCATCTTTGCGGGTCTTGGGTGGGTCTCTCGCGCAAAATGTAAGCGTGATATTTATTTTTCCAGATAAATATATATATCTGTGGACAGGTTGGAACAAACAAACACATAATGTTGGCGCTAACATATGCGCGCGCGCGAGA